ACATCTTTCGTTTTTTCAAATTGTCAGCAACATGTTGGAGTTTGAGCGTATTTCACAGTTTGGGAATTGTGAAGTGTTTACACACTTTAACCACTTGCTGCCGGGTGCTTTTAAAAATGCAGTGCACACATATGGGATATTCTTAAGATTTTAAGTTTTCAAAAATCTTTAAAAATTTATCATTTCATTTAATGCTTACACCCACACGAATGACTGTTTGGTGGCTACTCTAAGCTGACAGGTAACCTTCATTGACTCCTGAATATTTCAGCCAGGCCTGCCACCCTGTAAAGAGAGCCCAGAATTTGTGAGGTGTTGCATCATTTCCTTTGTTCCCAGTGAATGCGAGTGGCGTCTTTTCAAACGCGGCTGGATTAGCATGCAGTGGTGCTGTGTTGCTCATCAATGGGCCCTGGAGCACTTTTGTCCATGGTGCTAATCCACGTGTGCGCTATGCCCAAAACAGTGGTATATTGCTTAAAAACAGTGACGGAATTCCCAGCAGCAGGTCCTTTGTTCCAAGTGTGGTCTTTTGTTACACGGACCGGCCCTTTTGTCCCATTTCGGGCACCCCAGCTCTGCATATAAACCCATGGTGCTCGAAATGGAGTTCCCCGGCAGCAAGTGGTTAATACCTGTCACTAGAGACTTGGCAGGGCGAATATGTGGTAAGGAAAAAATGTTCTCTGGACCTGTCAGACAGTGTGTATGTACAAAACCAATATGAACCAGTGAAGCCTGGGTGCACATTGTCTCATCTTGCTCATCTGCAGTATGCATCGGCAGATAATGTTGACCAATGCTTGTAAGTTTCCTGGAAAGTCTTTACAGGTTTACATGTCATCCTGTGTGAAGTGGTTAGTTGCAGTTTTTTCAGAAGATACATACTCCCGGTAGCTGACTTACCTTTCATTTTTTGCAGCAATCAGAACTTCTAGTTTGTTTGCATACATTCTTTTTTTTTGTAAATGCCAATAATGCCAGGAATTTGAAATTGACTCATGGTCCAAGATTATTCCAAAAAAGTCCAGAACTTGTAAAGATGAAGCCCGCTACCTTCAGTAATTTATCTTATATGCTATCTGCTCCAGGGTGTTAATATTTTGTCAAGTGTCAAGATATTAGTAAGTTGCAGTAACACAAAGTCGTAAACTTTTGTTTTCTTGTCTATCTAGGAAATATTCTTATTTTCCTCAGCTCCACATTTCTCTGTTCTGCTGTGAGTGATACATGTTCCAATCCCTACCTAGCTTTCATGTCATATCTTTATACATGTTTTTTGTGGAATTTTTAACCATGAGTGCAAAAGTGCCCTAATCTTAAATGCCCTAAGAGATAGGGATGTGTGTGCTTGAAGTCACGACCTGTGATTTGGGTATGAGCGATATTTTGTGTATACCCATACAAAAGAAAATGCCACCACAAAGACAGAATGTCACTTAAAATAGCAACCAGGACCCAATTTTGCAGTGCTACTTAGCACACAATTTCACACTAACAGAAGCTTCACATAGTTCATGAAGACCGTAAGCAGTAAGCACAGCCACAGGCATGCTAACCTTGGAGGAAAAATCTGCTTGAACTTAGTGGTATGCACAACCGTTAGCATACCCACACTAAGCACTGCCATGAAATAGTGCTTAATGTTAGCACCGTGTTTCTGCTGTTACATGTAAGTAACTTTGTGAAATTGGGCCCCATATAATGAAAGTAGTAAGGCAACACCTGCTCTTGTGATGCACATGTCAAGTGGATGGTGTGTAAACCATGGAACAGACTGGTTATTGTTGTGCATGTTTGGGACTGGTATGCACTTCTTAATCCTTAGTAATGTTATATGATTTTGTGCTGCAAAAATGCAGTTTTCAACTCATTTCACAAATTCCATTCTATTACCTGGATCATCAGTACATTAGCAGTGTCGCATGTTGGACCCCTAATGCTTTGAGAAAGAGGATTGGTTACACCTAGAAAAATTCATATTTTGATATTTTCTCACATGCTGAATATGTTAAATGTGTTCAAAATCTCACATTTTATCTTAAAGTATCAGTCAAACCTTGACATTTTGTTATTTAGAATACACATGTACTTGTATACTGTACGTTTTAGATGCCTTGTATGTCGCATTTTCTCTCCAAACTACTGTTTATTTGTGTAACAATTAAGCCAAGCACCCATTTCAGCACTTTTGGCTTGAAATTAAAATATGCATGTGCTACCCACATTGGTAAATGTTAATATGGCACTGGAGTTATAAAGTAAAAAAAAAACAATGACTGCTGTTATATTGCCATTCCATTGCATGGGACATGCATGTATTAGAAGCAAACACAAAAAGTACAGCTGAACAAGACAAGGTTACAAGCTTCATTCTGGTAATGACCCTTTCCACTGTTTATTGCTATTAAGGCATACTGTTAAATTACTGAATACAATCCATTATGGCAGGCATGTACAAAAAAATAATCACTACGTATCAAAATGTAGCTTTATTTCATTGAATAGTACATCTAGGTTTGGGTCTAACAGTGGGTAGTTTCAGCATCACTGAACATTGAGACCAGATAGTATGTCCTACTGTGAAATGTGCCACAAGTATTCAAATCTGTTCCAAAAAGCAAGGAAATTAGTCAAACTGAATATTCAGTTGGCATGCTACTGCACAGTAGAACCTGGACGGGCTGTGTACCAAACCATCCTTTTGAAAAGCTTGTAATATTTGGTATAACCATATCAATATGGCTCCAACTAATTTATATACACGATAACAGTACCACAAGGAATCCAATACGTATATACATGCACACTCAACTACTAGTACGTGGCTACTAGTACATATGGCAATGGTTTAATACCAATAGTTGATAGTACGTTTCTTTGTAAACAGTTCCATTCTAATCTACAATAAACACCAATATACCCCCATGTAATCAACCTAAATTGGATCATTTTTTAGTCCATTCCAACTGTTCAGAAAAAGGACACTTATAGAGCTCAATCAGAAGGTTTCCTTCATGATTCATTTATGCTGTCTGCAATGATCTGAACAGGTGTAGGGATTTCGATGCAAAAGCCCCCCCCCAGTCAAGTACATATCCCTAGGAAGACATACATGTACATCTCAAATGTTTCAAAAGAACTGTGTCTTTCTTCAGTCGATTGTTCTTTTCCATCCATGATGTTAACTCACCATACAGATTTTTTCTTTTCATATGATTAGTACAATATTTCTTTTAAAATTGGGAAGCTCTGGATAATTTCATTCATTTAAGGCTAATTACCAATAGTACAAAATACATGTTTAGCCTGACTGTCAAGCAACAGGAACTGTGTGTAATTCCCTTATTATTTAGTAGCAGGTCTGTCTCTTAAAGGTATGTGCAAAGCCTGTCCTTTTATTTTGAGCTCATCATTTTAGTAGTATTGGTTTGATTGGTAATGTCATACACGTATAGGGCAAAAACTGCAAGTACAAAGTGTAATATTTTGCACATTGTATGAGCCTGCAGTATATTAAAACTCAGTAGAGTGTTTTACATAAGCCCTTTTTATTGTACTTTTCTACAGAAATACTTGCCAATAAGTCACATTGCTTTGTTTGCATTGAGGTGAAGTTACAAAGCAGTGGGCAACGGAAGCTCAGTAGTATGGTTAGTATGCAGCAAAAGGAGTTCCCAAATATAAATCCCATCAATTTTTTTTTAACATTAACTTGACAATGAAACGCTTGGTTCCCTACAGAATAACATACATCAATACTTACACAATTCTTCACTTCTTTATACAGTCTGGATATTTTCTGTACACTGAATAATGAATCAAAAGGCACTTCTCGTTCTGTTGGCTGAAAATCAAAATGATTTGGATGGATTAAATTTGAATGAGGAAGAACTCCCACCACTTATTCCGAAGTTATCAAATATAAAACTGTATAAATTAACTATAATTTCTCAAGTATTACCATTACAAAAATACTGTTGTTATAATTTACCTAACAAAAGTAGAAGGCGAGTACAGAGTGCAAGTAGCAATGCTTAGAATACATGATGCTCTCCAACCTCAACTACCCCACTTTAGTAGTCTCTACTGGACATCAAAATCATAAAACTATACTATTTTCCAGCCTGATAGTATTTCTGAAAAGATTCTTCTTCAAAGCATTCAGTTGAGAATGTGTCAAATTTGCAATGTTCACAAATTTCTTGGATAGCAGTTGTTTTCTATATATGTTTTGTTCCTTTACAAATGTTGTAAGCCCCTTTTTTTGTAAATACCAGGAATCAGATACAGTCCAATAAGTAGCAAACATTATGTACTGGCATTTATGATTTTTACTGATGCATTGCCCATTTAAGACATTGCACCAGTAAACATGCCAGCCCTGTTGATCTGTTTTATAAGAAGTGCAGCTTCAGAATAATTTCAGGTGGTAAATAACCACGTTCACGTGATTACATAACAAGTTGGACAGTTTTCTTTTTGTCAGGAAATGTGGAATTGATTCCAAAACAGGTCATGACTCCTACACAGACTAAGGATTTCAGAGTGATGTCACCTCTGCCTTCTGTGCCCCGTTCACAGCACAGATTTCACACGAAACTACACACGTGTGATTCATTACAAGCTATTGGTTACTGTGAAGTAGGACATGAAGTGTTTTCAATCATACCAAGAAAATTCCTGTCGCAGGTTTTCCTTGGGAAAGCAAAGGATGGCATGCATTTTCCAGACTATCAACACTCTGTCTCACATCAAAAAAATCACCAATTTAGTTCCAACGGTACAGTGCAGTGCTGTCCCTTTCACAAGTCCCTTCGCAAGGCTAGTCAAAAGTAACAGGGCGAACAATGACAAAAGAATGCTTTGTCACAGCTCATTTGCATAGCTTGTGAATTGGCTTAAGACTGAATGACTTATGATCGATTTGTGATGGACTTACAGGGACTTGCAGGGACTTGTGATGGACTTAAATACAGCACTGTTACATGTAATGCCTGTATGTGCATAAGGTAATCAATTCCTACTACAATGGAACTTCTACAATGCAGCTACACTTTAGCCGTAGCAAAGTTTGATTTTTACGAGTATAAATGTTGAACTGACGACAAATTTGGTGCGTCGGTTTAAACAAATTTGTGCACTGTAACATGTATGATGTGCATCATGAGTGAAACATTTTGCATGAAAAGTTGCATGAAGCCCCCCGACGAGCTTGCGCAGAGAACAGAATGGTCTGCAGCCATGATGTGACAAGACTAATTACTGCATCACTAATGCAGATGTATCAATGTACCAGTGATCCATATGAAGTACAGTGATGCATGTAATGTACATGTACCTGTGAGCTTAAATTAAGGCAAATGCAGATGTCAAACTAAGGATTGTACACCATAGGCATTGTGCAGGTATTACTTGGCAGATGATACCAGAGATGATATACGATAAGCAGTCCCGTGGACAACATTTACTCATTCTAGGAATTCTATATACAGCACAATGATAGTCTGTCTCTCAAGTCTGACTGGCATTTCGTACATAGAGTTTTCTTACATGGTCTATGGCTATACATGTAACTACACTTCATTCCAATGACCAAGTGGCAATCTACGCCAATGATACAAATATATATTTCCTTGACCTCCAACTACTGTATATCCTACATATATAAATCCAACTGCATATCCACTATTCTATCAAACACATCTCTAGAAAAGTAATTATACAAGTAAGTTATGAGGCATATCAAAGTTTAATGAACAAGACATTAGATATTTACAAGAATATTCAATACTTTAAATGGTCAGGTAAATAAAAAAAAAATTAAAATGTTAAAAATATAAAGCACGGCATAACAATTCCAGAACTAGACTTTAGAATTGTTGCAACACACAAGTTAAATGTCAATATGATCACAATTCAGTAATTCATTACTGTCCATACAATTTCTTACAACAGTATTTGGTCTATTTTGACTTGTCTTTTTAGTTTTTCCTTTCTCTTCATATCGACCACCAGTATCTTCAACAAAACCACATCTGTAGTCCTCAAAATCACAAAGGCATTTTGTACACTTCCAACAAATGTTTTTAAAGATATCTTTTTATTAAAGGAAGATGAATTACGTACATGTAAGAGTACAAAGTCTTTCTTTAAAAAAGCTTGAATATAAACATATCTGAGGTACCAAGGCTTTCTGAATAGCCATGAATTGGAAGGCACAGTTCTAGTACTTTTAATCTGAATAACTGTCAAATCAACTGTGAACAAGTAATTATTTTTAACACAAAAAATACCTTTTGATAAATATTTGTTTCAACAAAACATTTGTGGTAAAAGTAGATAAATATAAAGAGTAATATTTGTGTGTGTTATACCAAGTCAATTTGAGTGAACTCTAATCATGTGCAGAAATGCTAGCATAGCCATGCATTGAACAGGCTTGTCCCAAAAGTACAAGCTTGACTCCTGGTCAACTGCCAGAAGAGACTGGACTGTCATACAATTTGCAGATGTACTGAAGACTCCAGTATCTCAGTATGCCATGCCAGTGCATCTAAGTACGTGGATCCTTGGATACTTGTGGGCAATTTGCATGAAACAGTGACTACCCAGCACCAGCTTATAAGACACATTGCATACCCGCTGGTTTTCATTTGGCATTACAAAGCAAAGTGTTACGCTCTGAGACCAGAACAGCAGAAGTTGCCCGGTCTGGTTATGTACATGTACATAAATGTATGTGTAAGGCACAAGTTGTAAACAAATTGCTTGCTTTTCATAGAAGCACATATAATGTAAAATTACTTATTCCAAAGACTGGGAAGAGCAGAATTACATGTATGCCCAATCAAGTAGACTGTCACATCATGACGATAGTATCCTTCATTTCATATTTATATTACCTACTTAATTTATGATAACAAACATGAATAAGGTTTACTTTTTTAAAATCTGTACTTTGATCTTACATTTACTGTCATGAATTACTTTATCAAAATAAATATGCTTATTTGCCCCAGAAAGTTCCAAGAAAAGCCACTGAAGCAATTGCATAAATTCCAGAGTGCACTGTTCGTCAGTGTCTTTTTTCTAATTCAGGGAAACAACTTACACTCAATACCTTTTCCCATGATCAATATACATAATGTACATCACAGAAAAAATGAATGTGGACTATGCACACATTCCATAAGGACAATGTTGCCTTCAGTAGTGGCAGTACCAAGCATCACTCTCAATGCAGATGTTGGATGCTTCCTAATGTCCAGTGATGTATATGTACTGGTACTTCACACTGATTCCCAATCACTTCCATGTTGTGTTGATGTAACTCCTGAATGTTAACCAATGAACAGCACACATGCATATCAGAGATAAGAGTGTCTTTGATTCCATCGTGCTGCTAGATAAAAAAACTCCTCATCTACACTGTGCACGTCTGGTAGTCAATACTACTCAGATAAATTGAATGTAATGCACACTTTTTGTTAACATGTTAACATGGCAGGTATTCTTCGACACAAACATTCAAAGTGCTGGAAGAAAAATGCTCAACCAGCATGAATGTGACAGCAAGGTCAACGTGTAAGAATTTTGGTCATAATCCTTACGATACACCTGCTTCATATTTCACGCTTAAAATTCAGCCAAAGCAGGTTCACTAAAAACTTGATAGCTCTTATAACAGTTTCTAGGGCTTATTGGACACTGAACAAAAATCCATCTCAATGTTAGCCCCTGACAATGGCTCTAGAGTCAGGTGCATGTTTATTTTAGGGAGAAGCGGCATCTATATTTCCCATGCTACAATCACTTTGGTCTTATTCTGTGAACCCCAAGATAGTACAGTACATCAAAGAGCCCACTCCCACTGCAGATACATGTATTTTCTCCCATACAAAGTTAAGCATGAGAATAAGACTGCATGTGAAGATTTCTCTTCCAAGGTTCTTGACTGTTCTAAGTCCAAATAGCACATGACTGGCTTGGTGCATGTAACATGAAAAATCAGGTAAGTCTGATGATACAGGTATGCTTGTAATACCAAATGCTATTCATGTACAGGAGGTCTGTACGTGAGTAAATTATGCAAATGATGCCATCACATCAAGTCATCAGTACCAACAACTTATCGTATTAGGCACTGGCAAGTTGGCTTTGCAACTGATGTTCTTGTGACATTAGGTTAACAGTTATAGTCAGAACTAGAAGTAATCATTCAGGAAATGATAACACAAGCAATGGCCACATTTGCAAATACATGTAGGAAAGCATCAATCAGATAGGTCAATCAGTTACAGCATGTCCAAGGCCTGAGGACAAGCCAGTTACTGTAGATAGATGCTCCAGCCTCTACAGCCAGGTTAGGAAGTTTTCAATTCTGTTTGGTGATGACAGCACGTCATTCAAGATGTCTGTGTTGAGAGCTTCATGCAGACTGGGCACCAACTCGTCACTGTCCATGTTGCCTTGGTTACTGTTGTCTCCGTTCCCTTCCATTGGTCCCATGTCAATGTTGGTACCTGGCATGGAATCTAGAAAGTCCATGTGTTGGCGTGGCGTCAGGGGGGCAGGTATGGGTGTCTTACGTTCACCTGTCACAAATTAAAGATAAAATGTAAATGATCTATCACTAAGAGCATGGAATGGACTGCTGTGCATCCTGCAGCATGGTACCTAGTCCACAATGTGTAATAACCTTTGTGTTGCCCAGTAGTTGCCATACCTCAACAATGCTGCATGATGGATCACAGTCTGTCAGTAGAAGTAAAAGGTGGCATTTGGAATCACAAAACAAATGTCAAATAATCTATTAATATACTATCAACCCTTTGAACAGAAAAAAAAACCATTTGGTAGCCATTGGCTCCTAATGGGGAAAAATCTAGGCACCAGCACTTTTATGAAAGTTTATATAGTAATCAATTGGCTCCTGGAGGGAAAAAATATTGTAACTAGCAAAAAGACAGCAATAACTTATGTACAATTTGTACATGCAATAATAAGCATGGTAAGTTCAAGTTGGTAACCTACTTGCACAGATTTGACTAAACTGTGCTACTAATCTCCACTTGCGCTGAATATTCATGAACGTACGTACACACATGTAGTATAAATACTGGTTACATTGTCCATCCATGCCATGGAATCATGGCCTGGCCTGACGCACGTCCTTGTACACCACAAAACGTGCATACGTATCTTGTCACAAATAGCGACTGTATGGTGAAAATATGATTGCACAGGCAAAAATTTGGTCGCATTTGCGACTGACTGAGGTGCTATTTAAAACATTGTATATAGGTACTATACATGATGAAGAAAGTAACGGTATGGGAGGAAATGGAAATTCATCAGTCGGCACACACAGTTTGGGAAATTCACACACTTGCATAATAATAATAATATAGATTTATACAGTGCACTTATCCAGAAAACCGATCAAGACGCAATTCCATTATTATTTCCCCTGTTCACTGGACCCATGAAACATTCCAAATACCATCTCGGCTCCATAGATAGTATACAGCTCGATGCTGCCACTTCGGCGCAACGCAGCTAAATCAACCACAATAACCATCTCTGCCTATATAGGTACCCAATTACTCCTGGGTGGAGAGAGGCCATGAGTGACAAAGTGCCTTGCCAAAGGGCACACACATCATGACCCCAGGCTAGAGTCGAACCTGCAACCTGGGGCTTTACCCGGCCGACTACGAATCCAATGCCCTTAACCACAAGGCCACAGCACTCCACTCCACAGCATTCCCTCCACACAACCACAAGTAATTTTGAAATACTTCAAAAGTAAATGGAGAAGTGAGTTTACCAGCTACTTTACTTTGAAAAGTTCACTTCTTAATTTTTACAGTGACAAGAGTAACAGACTTTCGAACACAATGAAGGATAAAAATTCTACCAAATGGTTGAGTACATGTAAATGAATGACTACAAAGTAGACTTGAACAAATCTATTGATTGGAAACATTCAAGACAACTATGTGTACTTGCAATTGTGTGTACTGTGGAAACTAATACTGCTCTGTGTTTGCTACATCAATCTAAATAGACCGGAATATGGGATTTAAAGTACAGCTTTGTGTAGGCACAATGTACCTGTTTCAAATAACATAGTTCTGTAAAGCAGCAGTTTCCTTCACTCAAAAATATCTTATCATCTTCAGAAATTTCCAAAACCAAAGAGGTAACATCAATACCGACACTGTATTGTTCATTATGTAATTTCTAATACTGAACTCAGCACTGGCTTACAAAAATCACAAAAATGCACTAATTAACATCTTCCAATCATTTCTTATTCCAAGCTGTATTTCCTATGCAACTGACCTTCAATAGCCTCCATGTCTTCCACATTACTCAGCAAATCATCAGGGGTTCTAGGATGACTGTAGTTACTCATACCACACCCACTATCACCGCTCTCCTCTCGGCTGTGGAAGTTAGAGGTATTACCACTGCTGAGGAAAGGATCTAGGCCTGTAGTACTGACAGCATTACCATCACTGCCATTACTCACAGTAGCTGGGTCCAAGTCACGCCGCAGTTGCATCTCCTGTAGAAAATATGCAATCCCCAAAATAACTCTGGTTTGAAGTATTTGAATGAGTCAGTTTGGTGATTCCATCTGGAGGTGGGCACATCAAGCTTTGAAAAATGTCATTGGGCACTGTCAATCCACAACTGTGGACGGTGTATTCACCAATGAAATTAAGAAAACTTCTTCATCAAGTATTCATTTTTTTGTCTTCAATTCTCAACTCAAATGCACAAGCTCAGTGTGAACTATACCTCCATCTTTTTTGATGAATTGCAAATTATAGGTTGGTTGCCATTGCCCTTTTCCAAAAAATGTAAATTTCTAATAAATAATATGTAATGTGTGGATGCATAGTTGGCATACACAACTGACTTTCTTTTCTTGTTGAAAATGATTCATGATTCACAACATCCAATGGGATATCAAACAGAAAACGTTATGTTACCTAAAGAAGGCCCCCACGGGATATATTAAATTCAAACACAACTGGGAAGCAATTTGTATGTTAAATAATGACATCGCTACATAGAAGTACATGTACAGTCCATGCAACTAAAAGGTTAATGTGGTCATCAAGCCAGAGTCATTTCATATGCATAGCAGACACCCAATGATGACAAATGAGGTTGGAAAGATAAATAAATCCTATCTTCCAGACTAAGGTTAGTATTTGCAATTTCAAATTCATCACATTATATTTAGAATATTATAACAACTCATGTTTCATCACGGCTGATTATCTGACATGATAAGCCAATTACTGGTACATGT